AGATACGCCCCACTGATCATTTATTATACAGAATTCATTTAAAGTTCATAAGCTGTTTCCAACCAAGACATTCTCCTAAGACCTGTCTTTTACTTCACTTTACACATTGCAATTACTATTACAAGGGTGAGCAAAGCACTTGGTAGGCTAAGTCCAAGTTACAGGCTGGATTGAACCCAACAGGTGAGTTGTTATGTTTTTTGTTTGTTTCTATTTTTGTTGTGGTCCACCAGTTAAAAATAATATTTACATTTTAAATAAAATTTTTGCCATTTTACATTTAATAATATATATGGAGTCCTGGCATGGTGCTGCAGGTTAATGCGCTGGACTGCAAGGTCAGTTTGAACTGCAAGGTCGGTGATTCAAGCTCACCAGCCACTCCTTAGAAACACTATACAGGTTGACTGTGTATTGGAAACGACTCAACGGCACTTGACAACAACATGGAGTTCTGGTAGCATAGTAGGCAACAAGTTGGGCTGCTAACTGCAAGGTCAGCAGTTCTAACTAATCTACCAGATTTTTTGCTCCTATAAAGATTTACAGTCTCGGAAACCCTATACATACAGGGTTGCTATAAGTCAGAACCAACTCCACAGCACATAACCACCACCATATATAGATATATGTTGTTGCTGTTTTATATATATATATATTGCTGCTGTTAAGTGCCATTGAGTCAGTTCTGACTGACAGCTACTCTGTATAGCGTTTCTGAGGAGTAGCTGGTGAGCCTGAACTGCTGACCTTGCAGTACAAAGACTTTATGGTTGAGTCATGTATATATATATATGTGACTAGAAGGAGCTCTGGCAGCATAGTGGTTACAAATCGGGTTGCTAATCTCACGGTCAGCAGTTTGAAACTACCAGCTTTTCCTTGGGAGGAGGATGAGACTTTCTGCTCCCGTAAAGATTTATAGCCTCAGAAACCCTGTACAGGGTCACTATGAGTCGGAACCACCTCCATGGCACCCAATCAATCAACCAATGCAATAAAAGTCCTGGTGTGGTGCTGTGAGCTAAAGCACTGGACTACAAAGTCAGTTTTTAAACCACACGGTTGGGGGTTCAAACTCACCAGCCATTCTTTGGAAACCTTATACAGGGTCACTATGAGTCAATATATCCAGTTTACACTCCCAGCTAAGGTTGTTCATGATATAAGTAGAT